CTCAGGGCGTGGGGCGCAGGGCGTGGGGCGCAGGGCGTGGGGCAGGCCTTACCGTGGCGGGGAAGAGGCGTGAGAAGTAGACCTCCCAGCTGTCCCGGGCTGCCAGGACTATCTCCTTCTTCACGCTGTCGTCGGCCACGGGGCTGAACGAGTCCAGCTTGTTTTCCGCTGTGGTGAGACCCCCCCCACCCCGAGAGACATGTCAGGGGCTGGTTCCCCCTCCTTGGATCTGCTGCGGGGGCAAGTGAATCTGGGTGGGGGCCCAGAGGGAGAACAAAGGCCTCCCGGCGGGGGGGAGCTCTGCTTCCTGCTGGGCTACAGCCCCAGCCAGAAGGGCTGTGTTCCACCAGCATGCACGACGGCTCCCTGTCGCTGCCGGGGACCCGACCTTCCCGTGGGGGATGGGATACCCCTAATGCCCAGGGCAGGGCAGAACTAGTGACACTCGGCTCCCAGCTCAGACCAGCCCCGGCCCGAGGGGTGAGAGGCTGCTGGGGCCAAACCCAGCCCACTGCACGCCGTGGCAACCTCACGCACTACACAGACCTGCCCCAAGGAACAGCAGGGAGATGGGGCTGGAGAGAAGAGCCCCCCCCTCCCAGGGGCCCCTCGGCCTGACGCAGGACTCAGTGGGCCGGGCCGGGCGTTACCGAAGAGGGATCTCATGCGCAGTCGCTCCTCCGGGGAGATCCTGAGGCAGGCTTCGGAGAGCGTGTCGTGGAAGATCTGAGGGGGGAACCCGCCATGTTGGCATTAGCAGCTTCAGAGCTGAGGCCTCTGTGTCCCCGATGCAGCCGCACTAACTCCTCCTTGTAAGCCCCATCCTGCGCCCATCGGCTGCCATGGGGCAGGGAGCAAGAACACCCGCCCGGGCACCCGCAGCCTCTCAATGCTGCTGCTGAACTGGCCGGAAGCGGCAGTTTGCCTGAAACAAACCCCTCCCGTCCCAGCAGGTGTTGAACCTGCTGGGAAAAGGCTCGGTGGGTTCCTAGCCCATCTGCATATAAAGGAGGTGGGAGCGGCTCTCTACAGAGGACCTAGGGTGTGGGCTGAGCAGTCCTCAGGGAGGAACCGTGGGAGCAACCCAG